AGTTCCTGATCCAGGAAGCTTCAATAATAGTGTTGCTGATCAACAGGTCAATTTTTTATCTTTGTATTCACCTTGTCCTTTATGAAGCACACTACTCAATGTTGTTATTTCTTATGCTCATTAGGCTGTTCTGGAGACTGTAGCTCGAGTTAAGCCCAAGAAAAATGAGACCAAGACCAAGGAGGAGAAGTGAGTCTTCCTGTGCATACTTTACCCTGTTTGGAGTCTATACATGAACCTAGTGGCTGTTAGCTCAAGCAAATTATAACATATTAGTGCGTTTTATTCTAGATCATTCTTTAATCTGGATAATGAGAATGGCGTAGAAGATACTCCAAGACTGATAGATAGGAAGGTAAGCTTGCAAAGTCTTAAATCATTTGTACTTTATGTTGCTGAAGAATATACATCTATCATACACTTGTGTGTAAAAGCATTCCTGTAATGTGAATTTGCTGCAACTCCCATCCAGGACAACATTTTTATCATGTCCAATCCAAAATCCAAGTACCCTGTACTGCAGCTAGATTTAAGGTAAGTATAGCATTCGTAAAGGAAGTTCTTTGTTCGATTATATTTTGTAAGAAGTTACCTAATGCTTTCTTGTTGGGGACATCTCTCTTGAAACGGTACATTTGTAGGCTGATATCAGATTTGGTCGTCGTCATTGTTTCTGCTACTTGTGGTGGAATTGCCTTTGCCTGTGCTGGTCAACCGGTTAGGACACGCTTCCTTTGCAGAACATGTGACTTTCAATGTTATTCCACTAGCATTTGAGCATTCAGTTTTCTGAAAGTATAGAAACGAATTTGTTGGCACTTTACTGAATGAACCATAACATCATTATTTAATTTCTACAGTACTTATATGACAGGTCATTACTGGGTATCTATTGGCTGGATCTGTCATTGGACCGGGTGGGTTAAGCTTTGTTAGTGAAATGGTTCAGGTAGCTTACATCAGATTTAGTTCTTCAAATTTTGTCTTATTTTTTCACTTGACAAGGGCTTGATTTATATTTTTTTTTGTGTACCACAGGTTGAAACAGTAGCTCAGTTTGGTGTTATTTTTCTTCTTTTTGCTTTAGGATTAGAATTTTCTGCAGCAAAGGTTTGCGTTTTTCTACCCTCTTATATTTTTTCTGGTTTCTTTGTTCCAACTGATTGAAACTTTTGAGACAGTTATTGTACTCTGTGGTTGCAGCTTCGTGTGGTTCGTGCAGTAGCTATTCCAGGCGGTCTTCTTCAGATATTTTTGTTCATGTGCTTGAGTGGGATAACAGCCTCGGTATGTTCTAAAAAATTGGGGCAGTCGAGTTAAGAATGAGTTATAAGCATTTTGTGGTATGATTCATGAATACGGATTGCATTTGGTTGACTTAMCTGCTTCCTCATTGCAGTTATGTGGCGGTAAACTAACAGAAGGAATCTTCGTAGGTGCATTTCTTTCGATGTCATCGACAGCGGTGGTATATTTTAATTTTGCTTGTGTATTTTTGCAAACATTATGTGGTATTGAACGTCTTTGCATGTATGTTAATATTATAGACCGTGTTCCGCTATTAGAATTGTCCGCTTATGCTCACTTGCACTGTATTTTATCTTTTCTCCACTCGACTGGTTTTATTTACCTAAATTGATCTTTAGGCTTGATCCTCATATGTTTTCATTACTTCCCCTTGATTCTTGTACCAGGTTTTGAAATTTTTGATGGAAAGAAATAGCATAAGTGCTCTACATGGCCAGATAACCGTTGGAACTCTTATCCTTCAGGTATATATTTGGTCACACACTTTCCAATCAATAGCTTATCTATTCACATCTTTTTCACATATTCGTAAACTGTATTTCCTCAGGTTGTATGTGTTATGCAACAATTACTTATATTAGATTCTAATTTACGGTTTTATGAATCACTAGGATTGTGCAGTGGGTTTGCTGTTTGCTCTCCTCCCAGTCCTTGGTGGCACATCTGGTGTCCTTCAAGGAGTGTTGTCCATGGCTAAATCGTATGTATTTTTCTCTTCCAGAAAGTTCTTTGAAATATCAACAATATGGTGCTTCCTCTGTTCACTTGTTATGTTGCGGTCTAATGAATCAAAGTTCTTGACATTTTATTGCTTTCTGACCGAGTGGTATTATCTTTCCAGGTTGGCGATTTTGATTGCGTTTTTGTCTGCTTTGTTTGTATTGTCCCGTACGTGGGTACCTTGGTTTCTAAAACTTATGACAAGCCTTTCTTCTCAGGTATACACACGTTTTACCTGCTTCCATTTTGTTCATTAAGATGTTTATCAACTAAAGCGTTTTTTTACTCTTTGACAGACTAACGAGCTCTACCAGTTGGCGGCTGTAGCATTTTGCTTGCTTGTCGCCTGGGTTAGTCTGACCACTCATTCTTTTTACCAATTGGTTGATTTTGCACATTGCCTCTCAAATTTACCCAGAATCGTTTTGACGACTTCAGTGTAGTGACAAGCTCGGTTTGAGTCTTGAGTTGGGTTCCTTTGCGGCAGGAGTGATGATCTCAACAACTGATCTTGCCCAGCATACTCTCGAACAAGTAAGAAGTCAAGTTTGACTCTATCGATATACATTTCCCTTCTTTCCCCAGTGTTCAAAAGTTTACTATACCATATAGAGCCATTCTTATCGTGTCTGTTCCCTTGCAGGTGGAACCCATCCGCAATTTTTTTGCAGCGCTGTTTCTAGCTAGTATCGGCATGTTGATACATATGCACTTCTTGTGGAACCATGTTGACATTCTTCTAGCAGCTGTGTTACTGGTGATAGTGATAAAGACTGTCGTAGTTGCGATCGTTGTTAAAGTCTTTGGTTACAATAACAAAACTGCAGTACTTGTAAGAAGTGACCCCTTTTCTTTTCCTGCGTTCACACTATTCCAAACGTTCTCGCAGAGAGAGAAACCTCACAATTTTCTTGTCTATAGGTTGGAATGTCCCTTGCACAGATTGGGGAATTTGCTTTTGTACTGCTAAGTCGAGCATCTAATCTTCACCTAATTGAGGTAAGCAATCATTATGTCTCTTTAATTATTTAAATACAACCAAGCATATATCTTCCAGACCGTGTGGTACCATAATAGCTGGCTCATAATTTGCTTTTGGTGGAGCTATAATTATGAAGCGGTTTGTGTTTATTTGCAGAGCAAACTGTACCTCCTGCTTCTGGGAACAACTGCTTTAAGCTTGGTATGGTCCATTTCTTTTGCACACTGGTCCATTTCCACATCATATCACTTAATGTTCAAATTTTAGAACAAATATTTGGAACGGAACTTGATTTCTCAAGGAATAGCAGTAGATTTCACATACATAACATATCAATATTGTTTAGCAACTATATAATAAGAAAAATATGTTACAGGTAACGACACCATTGCTATTCAAGTTGATACCGGCCGTTGTACATTTAGGAGTGCTCTTACGGTGGTTCTCTCCTGATAGCTCAACCGAGGTAAATCAAAATCATCTGTCTTCTCTCTTTCTTTCTACAACTTTGGCTCAAACTCGACTTTGGATTATTTTTTTCATCCGTACAGATTGGCTTCAAAGGAGATTTGTATCATTCCGAGAGCGCAAAGCGTATATCTCTAATGATCCAAGGTTCTCTTCACGACTCTTGATGATGTTTGTGTATAACATACAACAACAACATCAAGCTATATTTGATCTCAAGCTAGGCAAAGGCAATGAATGGGAACCGTCGATTGTGTTCCGGATGTATAGATGTTTCGCGAGATCAGAAGAAAATCGAAGAGGAAAGTGTATAAAATCTCTACACGAAGTAATTACAGAGACTTGTAACTTGGCTTCATTTTTCACATGTTTTGGTATTCTTTTTTGGGTAAAAAGGTAGGAAATTACTTAGTTTGTTTTCATTCTTATATGTTCTGAAACGAAAGTTAGAAACAATCTTCAACGTATTGTAATGATGATTACCAACCAACATAAAACTATCTCTTAAATAAAGAGGTTTTGAGTTCATTGACTACAGAGTACAAATACAATTTTTAATTAAAGAATACACAAATTATGAAAGAAAAAAATAATGAATCAAATGTTTCTTTAACATTTTGTGGGAACCCGAGTTTTTATTGGCTTTAGCTTCAAACCAAGACTCTCCGGAGAAAGAAGCTCCGGCGAAATACACGATGGACTGAGTGGACTTCGGGGGCTATCGCTAACTCGACCAGGCCGATACAGTCCAAACCCCATGAAAAAGAACTCCATTGGTATCAACATTGCATGTGGTTGCTCTTCTGTTACCATTGATCCACAAGCTTGCACCTGCAATTCAAACAAAAGAACATCAATGCATGTTCCAAGAATCTAAGAGCCTGAATCTTTAACCTTGGAGAGAAGCTAAAAGAGCTTGCTCTTGAGTTTACTGAGTTGGTTTTAGTTACACCAAACTACATACCTCAACCAAGGCGCTGTATTTTCTGTCCAATGCAGCCACCATGTGAAGAGTTTCAGAGTGGAAAGGAGATTGGTCGCCGACAAATATGAGTGTACGGCATTTCAAACTCCTTAATCCATCAGTTATGTCATGTCTCCTGTTAATTGCTTCCAGAAACCGCCTAAGGCTAATACCGTGTCTCTCACCCAGCAGCTGAATAAACATGTCATACACGTGTCACAACGTTAAGGTGAAGACAAAGTGTAACCATCTAGAAACTACTACTAAGTTAAGCACTGACCCTTCTGCATTCATGTACTACATCCCGCTCTGGAACTTCAGAGCTACCACGAGCTTCCTGTCGTGGTTAAAAACAAGATCAAATCGATGTCTTATGAGTATATGCAGGTTTCCTCAAGGAAGTCACAAGAAAGATTACCTTACTGAAGTACCTCTGAAGGAAACGATCTTTTAACAATCCAGACATGCCATAATAGTACAACAAGTTTGACACTACCTGCAGAATAAGTATTAACATCATGTTATTCGTCTGGATGCGAATGAAGTGTGTGACTTTCCCTTTTGTAGAGTCATAAACTAACCTTGTAATAAAACCATTCAGACCATGATGGTGCTTTGCATAGAGGCGATATAAGAATCAGACCCAAAACTCGATCTTTATGTTTAATCTGCAACCATAAAACCAATCATTGATAAGTAACGCGAAACTGCAAGATGTTCTAAGAGATGTAGCTACAAATAAATCCTCAAGGAGCCTCATTGAGTACATACAGCAAACAAGGAAAGGATGTAGGCACCAGCTGTGATCCCCATGCACATTACTGCCTCGAGGCTGCAAGAGAAATATACATATTTTCAGGATTATAGTGCAATTGCCATAGTTCGAATGGGAGTTAGTTGAAACAAGATCCACGCTTTACCTAAAGAAATTCAATACTTCAAGAATCTGGTCAGCGAGGTCTTCAACAGAAGGTGACGGATCATTGGAACAAACTGGAGCAGCTCCAAACTACAAAAACTCTTTGTAGAAACGATGAAACCGACACAACGTGAGCAAACAGCAGCGTAGATACAAAGAATAAACTGTTTCAAGACAAGCAATTTTGCAAACCTCATGTCCTGGGGGACTAATATGGTAGATGCAGAAGTTATGAAGGAGTAAGGACACTGCTTCAGGGCAGAGAAACAATCCTTGAAAACACGACAAATCTAACAAACATAAAACACGACAAACCTAAAATCAGATTATCAAGTGAAACCAAATTCATGTACCAAATGCATATTCCACACTCTTACAATTTAGTGCTACATCAGGGTAAGTGATCAATGCCGGTTTCTCTTGATCTCCATAGACTACAACTGAAACTAAACCATGGCAAGTTTTCACATGATGCTCCTGCAAAAGATCAGAATAAGCAAGAAATGAATCAGTCTATCCAAATCAAGAGAACATTAACTCTCAAATGCACAACATTAGTCTCAATCCAAAATCAGCTTAAACATTTAGAAACCACAATAATCTTCAATTTTGTTTTTCTTTGTAACCAGAAACAGCTAAGAAAAGGAACATTCCAACTTTGTTCCAGACCACTAAAAAAATAAGGTCCTAAATAGATTCTCCCATGTGCAAAGACTCAGAAAATCAGTAGAACAGATAACTTGTTGTTAGACAAAAGTCAGACATTATATATCAATCATAGAGCAACAAAAAAGATACCATTTCCAAAGCGAATCTCTTTGACCTTTTATGCAGAATCGAATAAAACAAACACCCAAAATTGATAGATTTCAGATGTAACTCAAAGGATCCTCATCATCATAAGACAAAAATGAAATAACTTTGAAGTAAAACCAACTTTGATTTCAATAAAATTAAGCACTAAATCCAGAACATTGATTTATCACTGAGATTGAAGCTATGAATACTGAAGATGAATCTTCAATTAAACAGAAATTCCAAGCTAAACTAGCAAAACTAAAAACCCATAAGAGAGAAAACGAAATGTGACTATAAAGGAAGGAACTTTCGTAGCTCAATGAGTAGAACAAACCTTGCCACCATTGTAGATCTCTTCAATGTCGACTGAGACGTCGTCGTTTAACACCTTCATTGTCCTGAGAAACCCAAAAAAAACTGCGACTTTCTCTCTCTCTCTAAAACCTCGCTTATATTGAGATTGAAAGAGAGAAAAAGGAATAGTCTTTTGGTTTCTACTGAGCCTATTTGCCCCTTCGATTGTACGCTTCAACGGCTCTTTTAGCTTCTCAGCTTTGTCTTCTTCTTAAAAAAAGTGGACCACACTTCTCTTTCTCTTCTCTCTGTCTCGATGTCTGTGTGTTATAACAAAACCGCGTTTGCGTTTATGTCCAGCGGTTGTTTAATCAAGATCCCCCCCACCGACGCCGATGATGAGACTTTTTTTTTGTGGGTTTGATTTGCAGCGAAACGGCGCCGTTTTGTAATGTTCGTTTCTCTTTCTGTTTTTGTTTTTTCCATTTACTACATTTAAGTAGCGATCATCGGTAATTCTCTTTTTTTTTTCAGTATAAACATTAAGTTTTGTATCGTCACGATTTCTAATTTTATTATGTCGTTTTGCTGATTTTAGAAGGAGTAAACATAAATGATGAATTAGTACATTTCCGTTTTCATTTAATTTAATTTAACAACTTTACATTTTCACTTGTTGTTTTGTTTTCTTCTTTTGTCTTCTAGTCTAGTGTGATCACTAGACCAACCATTTAAACATCCATTAACATGGATAAAGAACTAAGTCAAACATTCACTGCTGAAAATGACAAAGACTAGTAAAGCCGTTAAGATCCCA